TCTGTAATAATTGGTTCTTGGACCTTTGTCCGGCTATTAGAACATCATCATTGTGGATAATATTTCCCCATAGACTTGAATGAAATTATTTTTAATCGGTTCTCCTGGTCTACAATTTGGAAACTGAGAGGACCCTCAAGATTCAATGAAAATTGTTTCCCAACTTATTTCAAGATACAGGAATAACTGTGCCTGGCAGAAGTGAACCACTCAGAATTTAATCCTTTAGCATACAAAAGGAGTTCAAGAATCAGCAAATGAGAAGTCTAGCCAGCATATACTGTACTCATCACAGATGATGCGAAAAAAATCTTCAAAAAGCACAAATTTAGCCTGTTTTTCATTATTAATTAGTGTAATGAAACATTTCTCCCAAAATTGTTTTGAATATCAATAATTTACCTCCATTTGTTCAAGATATCAGAAAAATTGTTCTTGAAATGTTGGCAAAATGTCCGTGCTTTGGGACATTGTCCTGATGTATTTGCAGACTTTTCGTAAAGTGCGTGTCCCCTTAGTCGAATTTACTGTATGTTGGGGTCCCAGCCCACTATGCACTTCCAGAATTCAGTATGGTGCACTTATCCACTAATGATACAGTACATGGAACCTGTATTGAGCACAGATATCCGTGCATAGAGTTGGCTGTTACACCCCGTTTATTCACGCCCGCGGTCAAGAGCTATTAATACGCGAAGAATCGGCGCGCCACTGAAAACGATATCTGTGATTCACAGCACAAATTGTCGGCGATGAACGTGGCGTTGGTGTTCTGCGCTATCCTGGGCCCCTACGCCGTCAGCACCCTGGTGGCGGGACACTTGATCCACAAGGTGCCGGGCAGCCTGTGGCTGAGCATCGGCGGAGGCTGGCTGAGTCTCACCATCGGCTACTTGCTGCTGGGGCCGTCGCTCATGGAGTCCATCATCCCGGGGTGAGTGCGTTGATTACAGTGCACCATCACAATGAAAAAAAAATGAATAAGTGAATCAAAAGTAAATAAACGTGAACCTTGCTGAAATGAATACCTCCCTAACTCGATTGTTTTCAAGTCCCTGTCTGGATTCCCATGGAAACAATGCTTTAAAAGCCTCCCTAAGTCAAAGTAGTTTTCTCTCAAACCTCTGTAAGTTGAATTTTCTGAGGCCTTTTGATCATTATTTCCTTGAAATATGATTGAGAAAATCAACAAAACAGATTATTTTATGCATTTTGAAATCAAGTGAAGGAGTGATTGAACAAATGAACCCCTGCCCACAAGTTCAGCAAGCTGGTAAGTCATTAAGAAGCAATTTTAGGCCCAGAATGTCCTCATGTAAATTCCCATTTTTGTTGCAGCAAAAATATTTGTTTCCTTTCCTCAAAAAATCAAAACCTCCCTAAGTTGAAACCTTCCAGAGTCAAAGTTTTTTTCTGGTCCCTAGAAATTTCACTTAGAGATGTTCACCTGTACTGCTGTGAAGTATAAGTTGAATGAAATGAAATAATGAAAGTACCCTGGCCGTTTCTGGAATAAGTGACGCTTGTTCAAAGAGAATGATTAGGATGCATGCAAATACCCTGGATACTGACCATTTTTATCATACACAGGGACCTGTGGGTCAAGATCGTGGCGCTGGTGCTGGTGGGGTCGGGTCTGGGGCTCACAACGGTGCCCACTTTCGAAGCACTCCGGAGAGCTGCTATGTGAGCATCTCTTATTGTATACATGATGTACATATTGTCAGTAATGCTGTAGATACACTGTCGGGAACAGCCAGAAGTCACAGGGTGCAATTCAGTACATTTTTTTCCAGAATTTGCTTTGGATAATTTTTTGAAAGAAAAGAAAATCTCCGAAAATTTAGTAAAAATGAATTTTGAATTATGTAGAGGATATCTTAGTGGAAACAATTCCAACGGCAAACATTTATTCGGAAAATGCATTGCACCCTAGCGGTGACTTCTGGGAGTACGACGGCGAAGAATGATCTCAAAGGGATTGACTTTGAGGACAGCGACAACCTCATATCTGCCGTCGAAGATCAGCTTAATCAACTAAAAGGGAATTCAATTTTTGGCACTTTAATATCATTTGTTTTATTGTATGAAAAAATGCATGAAAATCGGCGGAGCGTGGGTTGAACTGCACTGAAGTGTTGCCAAATGATTGGGGTTTGCAATAAAAAAAAAAATGAAAATAAGGAATTGTTGAAACTCAGCTATAATGGATATACAGTATTTTGAAAAGTTGCAAAAGAGATGAAGAAACTCTCACGTATGCAGGCATTATAGAACGGATTAACGAACCTTGGAAACGACTGTTGACCAGCATGGCAGTAAAGCATAATAGCTTACCTTGCTTATGGAAGAATCCCCTGCTTATGGAAGAAAGGTAGATTAGATGCCCGAGGAGAATTCATGAAAAAAGCACTGCATCATAAAAAAAATTACTTTCGACAATTTTTCAAAGGAGTGCTAGCATGAATCACGAGATACAGTGTATATAGTCTTACAATGAAATAGTTGCCGTTTCACGAACCTGACTCCGCTGTTTTTAATATTATTGCACCACAAAAAGCTGAGTGCGTGTTGGTCTTTTTTCAGAAGAACTGCGTTACTTTGCTGAGATAACCATCATGTCATTCGCGGAAATATGGCTATATTGTCCAACAGAAGAAAAAAGTGTCATTCTTCCGAATCGTCTAATGATCAAAAAGCCGTCGTTCTTTTTTTTTCAAATGCTTCAATGAATTCAGAAAAGCCTGAAAACGTTTGTCAAAGGAAAAGAACGGCTTTGACGGATCATTTGCACCATCTAGATATCAAACCGTGGTTCATCCTCTCATAACAATCAAAGCACAGTCGTTGAGAAGTATGAAACAAAAACACTAAGAGCTCTCCTAAGAAGTTCGTGTACAGTATACTGTAGTCCTGTAATGTAAACTTTGCTAAAATAAGTTGGTTTTCTGGGAAGTGGTCAATTACGATACCTTCTTCACGCAGGGAAGCTGGATTCAGCGACGACATCAAAACATACGGCATCATTTCGGGAACATTCAATGCCTTCTACTGCCTCGGGTGAGTCGAGTGCCTCCTTTAGAATTAAACGGGGCCCCGACATACGGACGATGAGGGACGCTTCAAACTCGAACTCTATCTGTCCCAATATCCGGATCAGATCTCAAGATATGGACACTAGACCCCCCACATTTCTAGTCAAATTCCAAAAAAAATATTTTAAACACTTTTCCGCCTTTCCTGCAAATTGAGCTGCTCATATTCACGAATATCGGATAGGAAATCAATTACTGTACAACTGCCCTATAATTCATGATCCAAAGCATGCTAACTTCGTGATTCTTATTTCAGTTATTTCCATCGTATGTGCACAGTCTGTAAAGGTGTGGGCTTGTTTTTTTTTCTTTTCTTGTTGTGGCTCCTTTGCATGCCAAAAGATGAGATTATACATGCATGAGTTTATTTTGCTTAGCTATTTTATGCATCTCGAAGTACAGCAGATGGAAATTAATTGATTCTCAATCGTTTTTGGGAACTTTTTTAACATTATATAATATCAGCAGCAGGAGAACCAATCGAGTGCATTACATTATCAATTGAGACTTCAGGGAATACGTGATTTGGCATGCGGATATTCCGACGTACATGGCCCTAGTACCAATTGCGTCCGTATCTCGGGGCCCCACCGCGATCAAAGCGCTGGACCTAATTGTCTTGATCTCTCGCTCCATATGCTCATTCATCGTCATGCAGGGAGGCGGTTGGTCCGGTTGTGGCAGGGTTTGTCGACGACCTCAAGGGATTCCAATTCACTATGCTGGTGGCTATGATCGAGTGCGGGTGCTTGGTTCGTGTCTGCCATTAATGCCATGGACCTGGGCAATAGGGATATAGTATAACTTCATGCGAACCTGGTTATGTATTTTCCAGGTGGCGCTGAGTGTTCTCTCGTATCTCTTGTCGGTGTACCCAGGCATGCGCTGCCAACGACGGGAGGCACAACAAGAGCCGCCTGCTGCTGCAGAAGCTAGGAAGTCATCTTTGATCAGTCCCAGGGATTCTTCGCCGGCAGAGCAAGCCCTCGATTCGGAAACCAAATTATGAAAATCGTTCCTATAGAACTATACTGTAAATGCTTCTTGAAAATAAATGCCCGACAGGTTATGATCAGCACTTCTCGCACAGCCCTTGTTTCATTTGGTGCATTGTATCGCCAGTTTAATCGACGAACATAATCCTAGACTAGGTGAGAGTGTGCTCAAGTCGCTGAAGGCTTTCCATCGGCAATAAAGGAAGCGGAAGAATTTCCTAGATGGAATGGCGTGCGATCTTCAGAAGAATATATGCCTGACATATA